GGTAATAAACAGTTTTGATAAGTTAATCCTTCTTGACTTATGAAAAACTGTTTATTACCAGTTTACCATTTTAACCATGTTTTATTAATGTTTGTTAATTATTAATCTTATTGATATAAATTTTTGTCAAAAATATTATTATAAATGATGAAAAAAAAATTTACATGTTAAAAAATCAAATAAGTTAATAATAAAAAATATTATTATATGAAAGACTGTCCTTTTTTGTCATTTTACATATATAAGCAAAATTTTTCAAACACTAAAAAACAATTTATCGGCTAATTGCTTTTTGGTACCGCTATAAGCTAATCCAAACACTTTTTACAAAACTCCGATTTAATACCACATAAGTTGTTAATAAGCACTTTTACAAAAATAGAACCATCATGAAAAATAGATACGGGTTTGTGTTGTTTACATACTCATAATTTATATTGTTGTATTGTATTCTTGATTTAAATTTATTTCTTTATTTATTAAATTCAAGTAAATTAATTTATTTTTTTTGTTGTATGAAAAATAAAAAATGTGAATGAATTGCTACCTTGCTTTGCCAACATATCTTGATATATATGAGATTTTGAATGGTTGGTATATTTTGAAATAAATATTTATTTAAAAATTAATTATATTATTAAATTTTTTGTAATTTATCATCTCAGTACGTTTTTACAGAAAAAAAAAAACTTTATATGGAAATAAATAAACAAAAGAACACAAGAATTGTCAAATAACATGTGATTATACACTAAAGTCATGTATAAAAGCATGTATGATTACGGTTGACCTAGGTCATGGGCCAAGTTGCTTGTGCATCCATGTGTTGACCGTGTTCCATAATCGCATGTGATTTCAGTGTAAAATCACATGTGATTTAGCCATTTTTGGAAAATTGAGGAATACGCTAATAATCATTCATTTGTTCGATATGCACATGTGTATAGAAATGGATAAACGTTTTCAATTGCTTTTATGCACATGGACATACCGGACGAATAAATGGTTATTAAGGTGTTCCACATTCATCTCACAAAAAATTGTGATTGGGATTTATTTATTTATATATATATATATATGGGCCCATTCAAGAGAGAACTGATTAGTTTGTGGTAACTGTGAGATCTAATCTCAACCACAAATCAACGGATAAATTAGGATATTAATAATTATGGTAGTTTGAGTTTAAATTATAATTAGAGGGCATTTTAGGTATTTTTAAAAAACTTCTCCCTCCTCTCTTCTCTCTCCTCTCTCATCTCTCCGACCTCCAATCTCCGGCCTTCGGTGAACAAAAATCCGGCAGGTACCAAGTAATCACAAAGTCGTCTCACGAGTCTCACGTAAACAGGTTGGTATATATATATATATATATATATATATATATATATATAGAGAGAGAGAGAGAGAGAGAGAGAGAGAGGGGGGCGATCAAATGCAAACCACCTAATTTGTACAAAACGTACGAACCACCCTCATCCGTCGTTTTTATTGTTTAATCTTATGAAATTTTTTCATGAAATTGTTTAATCTTGTGAAACTGTTTCATATAATATTTTTTTGATGAAGTTGTTTCATATATGATTATTAAATTATTTCATATAATACTTAATCAAATTTTAATGAAACTGTTTCATGTATTTCTTTAAAATTAAAATAATGAAGATGATAATATCTATGATTAACACCCTCCACAATAAAAATGATTAACCAACCTCTCATAATTACAAAAAAATGAATAAAATGAAAAATTATGATTGGTTGAATGAGGTTTGTACAAATAACGTGGTTTGCAAAGTAAACCTCCTCTCTCTCTCTCTCTGTATATGTGTATATATATATATATATATATAGAGAGAGAGAGAGAGAGAGAGAGGGTGAGTTATTATGCAACCATTTACATTTGTACAATCAATACAACTCAATCTCAATCGTCCATTTAATTTGATGAATATATGATTTCATAAAAGTTTTGATTGTTTCATAATATAAAATATTGATAATAATTAATGAATTCAAGTCATCTTCCATAAATATTCAAATCATAATAAACCCTAAACCTTAATTTTTTTTATTAAAATACCATATAATATTATTTTTTTTGAAAATGTGTAATAAAAACAAATGTTCTATAAAAATGCGTTCATATGACATTTCTCAAAAGCATCCTCAAAGCATCTCTAACAGATTATTTAAAATTGAGAGATAAAAATGTAAAATTTCCAAATAAAATTTATTTTCATCTCCAACAGATTCTTATTTTAGAGATTTTAGAATTAATTATATTATTAAAATATTCAATACAACTCATAAAATACTATTTTCCCCCCTAAAAATTTAAATTCAAGCAATCGCATTGGTAGAACGAATAAAAAGTCATATCTCTCATAAGTAATCATTTTTGGATAAATCTCCAAATTCAAAGAATTTCATCATCTTTCATACTTTCTTCATTTTGGAGAACGTTTTGGGAAATCTGTTGGAGATGTCCTTAAATTAGCTAAACATTTGAACAACTCAACCCACTGCTTGCGGTTTGAAAAATCTTAACCCAACTCAATCCAAATCAAAGTGCAACCCAACCCAACCCAAACCCAAACCCAAACCGTAGGAGTTGGTCGGTTTAATCGGGTTGGTCGAGGTTAATACTTTGGTACATTAAAATATTTTTCTAACATTGTATATGTTAGTTCTCTACTCATAATTTCTTTTTCATCATCAACCATTTGATATAAATTATTCATACTTCTTATGTATATCATATTCAATTAATTTTCTCAATTTACATGTATATATTCACAGTTACTGAACATATATACGAATGAGTTATATAAAGATGTGAATAGATTGAAAATATATGTATATGAAAAGCGTACGTGATGGTGTAATTGTCTAATATATATATATATATATATATATATATATTAATAGAAATTCAACAATCATATTAAATCCAAAAAATAAAAGGATATAGGGCTCATCAGGTTAGATTGAGTTCAATTAATAATAATCCAATATCAACTCAATACCTAGGGTTTGAAAATTTTACAACTCGGGTTACTTCAGGTTGAGTTATTTCACATTGGGTTGGGTTGAGTTGGGTTGATCGGATTGGTCGGGTTTTTTAACATCCCTAGTGATAGAGATGTAACTAAACCGAACTTAAATGACAATAAAGCCCTTTTTTAAGATTATATAATCTTCAAAGAATGTCTCTTTTTCCGAATTACACAGTACCCTGATCACCAGTAGATAGTCTCTAAGTAGGTTAAGAGTTAAAGATAAGAAATGTGGGTGAGTATTTGTAGTATATAATTAAAAAAAAACATTTCCTGCTCCCAACTTCAATAAGTTCAATATTGGTGACATATCATTACAACAAAATGTACATGAATGCTATATATATATATATATATATATATATATATATATATATATATATATATATATATATATATATATATATATATATATATATATATGCTATTCAAAGGAATGGCAACTCATATTTTCAAGCCCTCCATTTCTTCTTGTATTCACAAACAAATATATGCTTTGATACTTGCAAAATTTACACACCAACGAACGACTCACGTTCGGTTTTGCAGAGTTCAAGACGGCATGTGTGTCGAGAATGTCTCACCAAATTAGAAGATACGAAACGATGGATCATTCTTGGATGGTATCTTTATCTGTTAAATTGCTTAAATTTCTTTCCAACTGCAAAACCCAAAAGGATGGTTTATCACTATATGAAAAAAGATCGAGCGTTCAGTAGCCCTGTTCAAACAAGGGTGGGTCCCCCTTGTATCCATTTTGCGGACATAATCATCGTATGAATCCCCCTCTCCCTTCCGAATAACGCATATACACACAGGGTTGGGTTCTTGTGAGAACAATGAGAACACCTCAGAGCCGTTGATCTCTTTCGATCCAACAGAACTAATTTACCATATTGTCTTTTTTTTCAAATGGAAGACCGGACCTTCACCCACATACCTACTTATATCACCATGACTGAAACCTAGACATATATATATATATATATATATATATATATATATATTCATGCATGTGAAAATGACTGAGCGTATTTGAAAATGAAAGTGGCCAACTATGAAAGAGGGTGAAGGTGGATGAAATTATAGCAATGCCACTGAAGTTCCATTTATTTACAAAAATGCCACTGCATTTTTGTAAGCCATCGGATTTATTGAAAGAGACTTTTCAGGTGTTCTCACCATTTTCATATGATCCCAACTCTAAATTGCACACATAGTTTACGAGGGAATAGAACATAAAAAAATAAGAGTGAATTACATTCTCCGTACCAACATGGTTTGATGCTTTTAATGGATCTTGTCCCTATTTTAAAAAAATTACGAAACATGCTCGTGGTTGCATTTTTTAACAAGCCGGATCCTGTGGTTGGATTTTTTTTAACAAGTTGGTCATGTGGTTGCAGTTATTTAACGAGTTGGGTCCCTGTGGTTGCATTATGGACCCACCTCGATAAGAAAAACCCAACCACATCAACCTAGATCGTCAATTTTTCAAAATAGGCATGGGATCCGTTAAAAACACCAAACCACCGGTCAAAAAAATGTAATTCACCCAAAAATAATAACCCGACCCTTTTTTCTTTGCTCGTCTATATTTCGTTTAAAGATAACAAGGAAATAATACCCTTGTGATGGAGTAAAACATAACAATGACTCAGAGTTCTATAAGAGCATCTCCAACAGCTATGCTATAATTTTTCTAAATAAAGTATCAGAAATTGAAAATCTCTATAACCTTACATCCAACTCCAACAGCTACTCTATTTTAGCAATTCTATCATTAAATATATTATTGAAATATTTACAGCTAATAAAATATTATTTCTCTTGTCTAAACACTTAGGGGCCGTTTACCAAATGCTTACCCGGGTAAGCGCTTACCAGGTCACATTACCTTACCGGATGAATATGGTAAGGACCAAGAATTTTACCCGGTAAGAGGGAGACAAGCACCAAGAGTCTTACAATTTAAGTGAGGGCGATGGCTCTTACCACGGTAAGCGCTTACTGGGTAAACTATTGCATAAGATGCCATTTTGATGGACTAAAGTCTTAACCGTAAGTAGTGGTAGTGTTAAATTTTACATGTAAGCGCTTACCGGATAAGTGTTTGGTAGACGACTTAATTTCATTGTCTCCTATTGGTGAGAAAGTATTAAATACTATTGCTCTCTCTTAAATATGGACTTATAGAGATTTCTCTAAATTTGGAAATTTCTACCCTCTCTTTCTTCTTTTTTCTATTTTAGCTGTTGGAGCAAAAATACACCTTAAATCCCTAAAACTCTCTATTTTAGCATAGTTGTTGGAGATACTCTAAGCCCTTAATCGGGTTTCTCATGGCCTTAGCAATTAACACCAAATTATGACAGCAAAAAGATTAAACGTTCACTAGGTCGAGATGAAGACTGACCTTTGCATTACTCATTTTCAATATCCGCAATTGTTCAACCAGACTGCCAATGCTGAAATTTGTAAAAGAACGTTTTAGATAAATTATGTGCGCGTTTAACATAAATGATGCAGCTCGAGAACACAATGTATATGTTAGCTTACCTTTGTTGTAAGTGGATAACCTGAGACTGGAGTTCTCTCTCCCTTGCCGAGATTATAGGGCTCTGCATGAAATGAATAGTTTAAAAACCGTTCAACGAAATTCATCTTGCAAAATTACCATCAATTATAATACAATTTATCTAAAAGAAGTTATTGCAGAAGAATGTAACGATCCACATCATGAAGTGAAGGTAACCAGTGTTTTAAAAGGTGCATCATGGTGCAAGACTTTTTTCTGATGCTACGTTACCCTAATTACATGCCAAGGTGCCATGAACGTTTTCTGTAAGGCGTTACTTTTACCTTTTTTTTTTTTTTTTACCTTTTTAGTGTTTTAGTTTTTAGTATATAACCTACTTGTATGTGGTCTTGTATAAAAGTAACAGTAGAAAACATATGCATATATATATATATTGTCATTAGTCACGCCTTGAAAAACACTGGCTCCTAAGGCTTGAATATGATCTTGTATGAAAGTAATAATAGAAAACATATGCATATATATATATATTGTCATTAGTCACGCCTTGAAAAACACTGGCTCCTAAGGCTTGAATATGATCTTGTATGAAAGTAATAATAGAAAACATATGCATATATGTACGCAATTAATATGCAATATACAGATTTGCCGTCATAAATCACACGTTTGAAAAACACCATGGCTCCTACGGCTTCAAAATGGCCTTATATAGCTATATCAGAGTAATAATAGAAAACATATGCATATGTGTATGTGATTGTATATAGGATATACAGATTTGCCGTCACAAGTCACACCTTGAAAAACGCTGTGGCTCCTAAGGCTTGAGGCTCGACCTCACCTCCACACCACGACACTTAGAACCTTGGATGTGACAGAATTAAACTCACGCCATATATCTTTTTAAGTCAAATATTATCATATGAAAGAACGATCATATATGCACATGACAATTGTATAACAAAAGGTAATCTAGATTGAACTTGTTGGCCAAAAATTTCAAGAATCGAGCATGTAATTAACATTTCAAATATATTCTGAAAATTCAAGGAAGCATTACTTGTGAATTTTCATTGGTGCCCGACCCCGTGTACTCCATAGAAGTACCATAATTTTGCTCTGCAAACTTGATCAATTTAAGTATTTCTTCCTGGAAAACATAGAAAAAGTTATCAACTCAAAGAGCAAATCCGAACCCCATCAGGAGAGAGAGAACTTAAGGTCATATAGAATAGAGGTGTAAACGATTCGAGCTTTTAACAAGTTACTCGAGCTTGAGCTTAATAATTCTCAAGCTCGAGCCGATCTTGAACACAAAACAGAACTTGTTTAACTTAACAAGCCGAGCTTCATAACACCAATGTTCGACTCGGCTCGTTCGGAAACTCGAATAAATTTTTCGAATCGAATTTGAGCCAAGCCGAGCTATTTGAACACAGTTTTTCGAGCCCATATGTTCATAAATCATAGCCTAAAAATATAAAAATTATCGAGCTTGAGCCAATAAACCAGTTTAATGATCGCGAGTTTGAGCCCATAAACGAGCATCAAGCTCGAGCTCGATAATTCAAAAAATATTCAAGCTCGGGCACAATCCCGAGCCCCGCTTTGAAAAAGTTATTCGAGCTTGGGCCGAATAACTTGCTACTCGACTTCGGTTCAGCTTGTTTACATCCCTGTTATAGAATCAAGATGTTCAGATGCATACCCTTTGCATAGTATTATGCTGCAAAATGGTTTGCAAATGTGGAACAACTGAAGCAGCTGATGTAGTTGATGGTGGTGGACTGGTACTTGGATTGAAACCTAAAGCCTGAATGAGAGAAAGGATTTGAAAGTTATGAAGCCACTGCCTAAAAAGATTAAGGGTTTGTTTGTTAGCAGTTTAATGAGCTTAATGGGACATTCAGCTTATTCGGCCAGGTATACATGACTGTTTGATAGTGGTTTGATATAGAAAGTGGGTTATTCAGTAAGCTTCTAGGGAGAGCTTTATGTAGAAAGCCAAGTTTTTCCAAACCTCCCCCCTCCCAATTAAAAACACGCTCCTTCCATCTATGAAAAAACCATCTCAAACAAAAACCTGCCCTATACAGACAGATTAATCCACACAGATGGCTTTATTCGTACAGAAACTAATAGAAACCTAACCAAAAAGCCCCTAAATGCTAGTAGCTAGTGACTATTAAAAGGAAAGTTTGAAAAATAAAATAATCTACTAAAGCTAGACAACTGTAAGGGCCTGTTTGGTTTGACGGGATGTTTTCGAGGGAATTGGATTTCGTAATCTTTGGTGTGTTTGGTTTGTAGGAATTTGCAATGGAATCAAATTATAAAAATAATTAAATTTCCTTATTATTATTTGATTATTATTACAAAACAAGTACTTTTAACATATATTTAAACATGATTACAAACAAATGCTGTGAAATCCCGCAAAATACCAACTAATCCCAAGATTTCAAATCCGGGCTTCCAATTAAACCAACGCAGGATTGGAATGGAATTCAATTCCAAATCCCGCAAACCAAACGGGCACTAAGTCCATAAATCACATAATTGAATAAATAAATGAGCAAAATGCATCATAATGCGACGAATTTGTCTTGGTTCCTATTTAGAGTAACAAATAATCTTTTACTCAATCAACATAACAAAGTTTGTACCCATTTTGACGAGTAACCTGTTGATCTTGTAACATTTGATGATATAGATGATAAGTTTACATCCCCTTCGCCGTAACCCTTCCGAAAAAATTCTATAAACCTTTCGTAAAGGGGTATCAACTTCATCAAATATTGCGAGACCAACATGTTACTGGTCAAAATAGGAAATTTTGAAACAGTGTTACATCGACACTGAGAAAAATCTCCAGGACATTAAACCAAACTTCGTTGCATTTTGCCCTAGATATAAAAGCACAACAAAGAAGAAAACTGTGGTTTGTATGCAAAGAAAAAGAAAAAAACGATGGCTGTTTGTAGTAGTGTTCTTGATGCAACATATTGACAGATTCAAGTTACTAGAAGCATCTACGGTCTATATTAGCATAGATTCATTAATGAATTTATGAAGGTAAAGTAGTGATTTCGGTCAAACTGCAAATAGAATATAAATTAGTAAATGTGCACCTTCGAGTTAAGATCTGCCGAAAATACTTTAAACCGTCCCTTGCGCTGGACCACAGCTCCTTCAGAAACATCCTCTACTGCACGTTATGGCACAACGTAAAAGGCGGCATGTCAAGATTAAGAAAGAAGTGTATCATCACGGCGTTTGGGACACAAAGTGGACAACAAAGAGTGAGGTAGACAGGTGAAAAAATTKTCCAGGGTTTTAGGGTTTTAATTTGACATGGGTACTTTAGTTAGGGTGCATTTGGTATACAGACAAGATAGGACATAACAGCCATTTACAATTTGCCAAGACATAACTGATAAAATGGCCAATTTACCCCTACTGATTTGTTTTATATATTCTATATATTTTGATTAATTTATGTAATTTATTCAACTATAAAAAAAATTATATCAAAATATATCATTAGAAAGTTTTCATCAAAACGATTAAAATGACACCAAAATAATAACAATTATGTAACCTCCAACTTTTATTTTATACCTTTTCCATAAAAAAATTTATATTATTAGTATTTCAAAATATAGAAATTGTATAAAGATAATATTTTAAGGACAGTAAAGTGAAAGTTTAAACAAATAAAATTTAGAGAATGAATAAAATGTAAAGAGGGATGTGTATTTGATGTTTTAGAAAAGAATTAAGTTTTATTTTGAGGTTATATTGGTAACCTATAGGTCAGTTCCACCTTGTTCCATGGGGTGGGGGCTTGTTCCACTCTGTTCCTGTCTGTTCCACTTTGTTCCACATAAAAGTCGTGTTAAACGTGGAACAGTTATCCTTGTTCTGTTATGTCCAGTATACCAAATGCACGCTAATTTATCATTCTTGTCCCATCTCCATTATTTTTGTTCAACCTATTGATGAGACAAAAAAATGCATTTTTGTCCCACTCGGTCCCGTCTTGTCCCAGTCTAATGTCGCACCAAACATGGGATAACAAGTTTTTGTTTTGTCCTATCCTATCCTATCCCATCCCATATACCAAATGCACCATCATCGACTCATTGATAGAGCAAACACAAAGATAAATTAGCAGGTCAACGATGCCTTACCAGATAAAGAATTGTTGATTTTATGCTTTTGACGACACTGCAGTGGACCACTATGATTTCGCTGTGTTTGGAATCTAGATTGCAGATGATCCCTTCATATAAACATTGAACAAACAACCAGTCAAAGTCATCGAAACTTTTTAGGAATTTCGACCGCAAATATACCAAAACTACAAATTTGTAAAAATTTGCAGCTCCAAGAAAATGTGACGATGATATAATTACCTGTCAACATCAGCAACCAACTTCTTAGGAGAAAGAGAATCATCGGGTAGCAGTGAACCGCTCATATATTTTCTTGGCCCATTAGTTGTAGCTCGTGATAAGAATTTTCTTTGTCCATAATGCTCAGCATCATTGCTTTCGGTTTCCTGCCCTTCGGCTTTTACCGATGGTTTTGTGGCACTCTGTTGATCGTTGTCCGATTGATTTTCGTCACCTGGGGTCGAGCTACCAGTAGCCATATCGTCTTCACATACATCAAAACATCCCCTGTATTTAACATAGAACTTGGCATGAAAACTCGAACAATAATTCGGTTCTTTTAGGGTGCATTTGGTATGCGGAACAGGACGGGACAAATTAAAATTTTGTAGTCCCACGTTTGGTGCGACATTAAGACGGGGACAGGACAAGACTGAGTGGGACAAAAATGCACTTTTTGGTCCCACGAAGATAGGTGGAACAAATATTGGGGTGATGGAACAAGATTGGTAATTTACTAAACTACTCATATATGAGATCCCACCCACATTGGTTGGGGAGGGGAACGAATGTTGCCAAGGGACTGGATACCTCCTCTATTAGACACGTTCTAAAACCGCGAGTTCAAGTGTGGATTGAAGCAGATAATATCTGGTATGATTGGCCTGGAAAGTTACACCATGTCAAATCAAAGCCTTAAAACCTTGCACAATTCTTTCACCTCCCCCCCTTACCTTGCTCTCACCCTTCCAGTCCAGTCCAGTCCTGTATGCATACGAAACGCACCCTTGATACGTAAGTGACTAAATGAAGAAGACCCGATGCACCAACACACATGTAATTAATGGAATTACGCCTGCTTATGTCCACTACTCCATTTATCATTTACTTTAGATTATGACCAACACTTCCGATGGATTACAAGTTTTGAACCTTCACATGAGTTTTTCAGCACATCTCTCATGAATGAAACCCAAGGCGAAAAAATTTAAATTTCCAATACTTTGGAAGATAAGATCTTACTTGAGTGCTTGAAGAGGCTTCATAGGAAATGCCACAAATGAACTCTCCAAATCAGGAATTTCATTGATTGCATCCTGAGATGACAAAAGTTTGATGTTACACACTTCAGTATGAATTATATTTTGGAAGCATGGAAGTAAGGACAGAAAACCGTAATTTTAGCATGACAAGATGATACCTCGAGGTGAGATGCAGTGTCTGAATGATCAGATATTTCAGGGGACGACCTCTCTGCTGGTAAACCGGCATCATTGATCACGTTTTGTTGCTTTGAACTTGCACTCAGATCTTCTGCATTTGATGTTTCATCGTAGTCCTGGATCTGCCATTAAAGAAAGCAAGTTCACAGATTGCAATCACCCGGTACTTTCTAATCAAATCTGATAATATGACCAACAAAAACATACAAGGGCAGCTTGATTCTTCAAGTCCTCGAGATTGAAATTCCAAGCACTAATTCCACGAATATACTCTTGCTGCAGGTTGCCAAAGATCATGAAGACAGTACCAGTATGAATGAAGTATTCTTCACAAATGCTTTACCTAGAGTAAGCACGGTTTTTTTATTGCATCAAACAAAGTTGTTAAAAGCGAAGCTGAAGCGCACCTAGGCAAGGTCTTGAGATTTTAAGGTTGGGCCTAGGCACGCCTCATAAAGAGTTATTAAATACCTACCCAGTCAAACCCTAATATTTAAATAAGTTTTCTCATCTCCTAGTCTTCTTAAAAGAGAGTTACTAAATAGATGACATAAGTTAAACCATAATATTAAATACCCTATCCTTAGAGTTGCAAGCCTCCTTCCCTATAAATAATACCCAGACATTTAAAGCTTCTCCCTCACAGATCACAATTCAAACACTTCTCCCTTCTGCTTCTATCTAAGTATTGTTGGTTGTTGCATTAAGAGGATTGTACCTGCTGCTAAACCCTATTCGAGTTGTGTGTAACTGTGTTTGTGTATATATATATATATATATATATATATACAAATGAAAACTGCGGAACACCCTGGTAATCGTTCATCTGGACGGTATGCACATGTGCATACAAGTTATTTGTAAGCAATTTGTCTGGTATGCACATGTGCATAACATGCACAAGTGCACAAAACCAAAAAAACAGCTTCAATTAGTTGTATGCAAATGTGCATACCCTCTAGATGAATGGTTACCAAGGTGTTCCTTAGTTTTTCATTTTTTGGGGGATATATATTGATAAGATGTGCCTGCCTCGCATTCCTAAGGCCCGCACCTCGCGCCTAGTCCCCAGGACCTCCTTGCGCCTAAGTGCGCCTTGAGCCTTTAACAACTTTAGCATCAAAGATTGATAGGGAAAATGTGCATAGAAAGCAAGGTCCAATTTTACAAGTATAACAAGGTTTTTTCATTTCCTCTCGTTTTCTGCCTTAACAGTTGGAACAATTTCATACGAAAAGCTTATGATTATAGGAATTCCACCTGCGATAAATGCTCCTTTTCCCCATATAATTCCTTGTTCTGCATAAGAAGTTCTGCTTCTCTTGCCTAAAACAACAGAAAAGATGGTCAGATAGCTAACATAATTTAATAATTATGAACGATATAACTAATAATCATCATCGTTTAAAAAAGCTTAGATTGATATTAGCATAACACCTTTAGCATCCTAAAGCGGTCACTTAAGGGGGAAAGACCATCAAGAATAGTATGTTCCAAATACTCAGTTGTGCGTGCGTTCTTAAAGAAAGGGTGCTTCATAAGCTTCTCTGATGATGGGCGTTTCTTCGGGTCTTTCACCAAGCAAGCAGCAACCATTTCTTTGAAGGACTGCAAAGCCGCTACAAGTTAGCGTAACATTCTAGTCTATTGAGATCCTTGTACGATGACACGAACCTTCGAGAACTTTTTGTCCCTTTCATAGTCAAGACCTGGTGGTGCATTTTGCAGAGTCATGAGCAAAACCTGTAGAAATGAGACAGAACAATACAAGGGTTATGTTAAAAATCATTTTACCAAAAACCTTACCTTTTCATAACCCGTAAATGAACACAGCTCTGCCAAGATATATAAATTAATTACCTTCATCGGTGGATACTTAGAAAATGGGGCATGCCCATGAGCGAGTTCAAGTGCTGTGATTCCAAACGACCAGATGTCTGCTCTGTTGATGCACAACACAATTCTTCAATTAGAGATCTATAACCAAAAGTGATCTTAACAAAAAATAGAAATACAGTAGAATAGTAATGAACAAATGAACCATAACTTACTTAAAGTCGTATCCATGCAATTGCTGCATAACTTCCGGTGCCATCCTAGAAAAACATTTCCGAAACAAGGTCAAACAATCTCTAGAGTCAGTAGTGCAATGACGTTTAAACAAGAAGTAGAATATCATGTGCCAAAAAGGAAACATTACCATATATATATATAGACATATATATTATACTTCAAAAAGGAAAAAAGGGAACATACCAACAAGGAGTTCCCACAAAAGTATTCCTTGACCGTTGCCTATCCCCAGTGTCAAACATGCATGCAGACACTCCAAAATCAGCTAACTTGATGGAACCATTATAATCAACTAATATATTCCCTGCCTGAAAAACATCAACTCATAAATGGTAGTAGGAATTAAAGAATGAAGGAAGAAAATTAGGTGTAGGATGACGAGCACATTGGATCATTATAATGTCAGATAACGCCACCACAATATAGGTAGCAAACAACTTCCATTCAACATCAACTAAGCAGTTGTTAGGTTGGTTTTCCATTAAGTCCTGTATGGATAAAGTTGATTGTGTGGATTAATTTGTCCGTATAGATTGGGAGGGTTTTTGTTGGGTAGGGTTTTTTCATAGATGAAAGGAGCGTGTTTTTTAATTGGGAGGGTCAGGTTCTGCATAAAGCTCCCCCTAGAAGCTTACTGAATAAACCACTTTCTATATCATTCAGCCACTACCAAACAGTTATGTATAACTGACCGAATAAATTGCGAGTCCCATTAAGCTCAATAAGCCAATATGCTGTTAACAAATGAAAGATCCTAATGTGATATAGACAAAGTAGAATATCCAAGAGACTGAAAACACTCTTTAGGTTCATCCAGTGGAACAAAAATAAACATATCTTTGAAATAAAATCCCATTATTACTCTGTTCAATTACTGGAAAGACGAAATCAAAATATAACATTCATAGAAAGGTAACAATTAACAGAAAGCAACCCAAATAAGAAAGTATAGCACTCAATTTGCGACAAACTATATTTTCAATAAAACAAGATACCGCTCAAGAAGCCGTCTCACTACATGGCTACAAAATATCTTCCCTGTGCAAATTGCCCAATTGACTCCACAAAAAACATTTATATCAGACTACCGTAGTTGTTGAAAACAAGAATAAATGAATCATTAGAGAAGAAGTAAGTTCCTTACCTTCACATCTCTATGGATATGCCCGTGCGCATGAAGATAAACCAGGGCTTTAAGGACCTCTCGCAGCAATGTAGCTATAACAGGTTCTTCAAAACCTTCTTGAAAAGAAGATTTCATTATGTGAAGACAAGATCCCGCAGCCATATATGGCGTAACAACCCAAAGGTTTTGGCCAGTTGTGAAAGAGCAATATGCGCGTAATAAATTTGGATGGTCAATCAAACTCATGGTTTGTACCTCCCGACGGATGCCATCCTATTTAAATTGAAAAAGAATTTAAAAGGACAGACATTGAATAAAACAACATTTCCACTGATTACAAAAAATATCTAACAACTTCAATATAATTCACCTTCTCACAGGTCCAATGACGGCACATAATAGGAGACTAAGGGGGTATTTGGTTAGAGGTATTACTAAGTAGTAATCAATGGGAATGAAAATAAAAAAAAAACTGTTTGGTTTTCTATAATATAGTGGGTTCATTCCTCCAGAAGCCCAAAATTTCATTCTTGGTTATACTGGGGGGGGGGGAATGAAAATTCATTCCGTGTCATCTTCATTTTCGTTCCCATTTTCATTCCTCAACATGAGCCAAACAGACCCTAAATGGATTAAAAGCAATTACAGGGTTCATAAATCATAAATCCTTAGAGCGCTCTTCGGTTCCTCCACCAAACACGTGATACGGGAAGAATTATTATTATTACAAACATGCCTATTCATAGCAAAGTAAATCGTGGCAATGGCCAAAATCAAGGGGTGGTATGAAGGTTTCATTTCTTTATCTTTTATCATTTGGGTGGATTTTGACAAACTCATGATGATTTCGATTGTAAATGAGTTGAGGTTGTTCTTTATAAGTGACCTTTTTGGCACTTTAGTTGTCGATTTTGTGTAAAGGATGCATTTTTTTCTCCCCCTCTCTACTCCTTGTGAAATTTATTGGGTTTGTTTGGTTTAGTTTGATTTGGATGCATTTTTGTGTGTTTCTCCAGTTTACACATGTTTTTAGTCCTAAATCATGGTTTGGAGTTGTTGACATAGATACGTAAGTGGTTTTTCTTGTTTTTCATCATTCCATCAACGTTCTTGTTTTCACCTTTTTGGCTTTCTCAACGGTCATATACAACTTTGGCTTTTACTTTCATTTGTAAGCATGCACCACATATGTGCGTTGTTTTAATGGTGTTCTCTATTAGCAAGTTGGTATTAATCACGTGACCTTAGCCCTATATCAACATGTATCAATCTAATTCTAATTAGTCCAAATAATATTTATATAATAACCAAGAATATATTATTATTTTTCCTTCAAAAGATAATCATGCCTTAATTGGAGTTTCACATTTTAGGTTTATTTAGGGAAAAAAAAAGTTGATTACCGGCAACTCCAACCAGCCCCACACGGAACCAGCCTCCAACGACACCAATGTGAGGGGGCATTTTTTGGCTCACTCAGCAACTGAGGCTAGCCGGGGGAGGGGGCGGATCAAACCCAAGACCTGTATTGTATTTGGGCAACGTCGCCATGACCCTTTGCCAACTGAGCTACACGCCGAAGGCCATATTTTAGGTTTATAGCATGCATACATGACCCATAATCTAGAAAATGCATAAAATATGATCAAATGATGAAATGAGAATCGATGCTTTAAAAGTTACGTGCAAGACACATAAAGAGAAACCAACGTACCAGGTCATTATTACACTTTTCCAAATCAAGCACCTTTATTGCAACTGTTTCATTCAGCGGAACACAAAGAGCTCTGTACACGGAGGCACTAACTCCTTCACCAATTTCCTCATATAGCTTGTAATCCTTCGCATCAAGAGGAAACTTCTTTCTTGGCGCTTCCATGTGCTCTTCTAGATCATAAAAGTAAAACCATTTATTCCATAAGCCCTAAGGACATAGAGGTGTGAGTCAACTTAATGCCAAATTCCTTCCAACAGCTTTCTTTCCGTATATAACTTCACAAAGCCCGTTACTTCATCAGAAAAATCTTCAAAGTGCCCCAGGCATCAAGTACCACGGAACCACTAATAAATGACAACCTTAATATGTATTAACTCACTCGTATTCAAATATGATAAGCAGGTCCAACAGGCTATCAACGTATCATCAAATCACCATAGAGTATCTCTTAACTTTTCAGTGTATGTGTATCATCTTAAGTAACTTCTTGGGTTCGTATATCAGAAGCACTAAAACATTCTACAAAGTAGATAAACCAGAATACCCGCCAGAGCTGATAAGCTAGAAATCCTGTAAGATTAGAACTATATTTATCGTCAAGAAAATGAAGGAAAGCATATCAAGAAACTGATTAGGCACTGGGATCACATTTCTGATTTGAAGTTGAGATTATTGGTGATAATTGGTGAATTATTCCCTACTTTGATGGCGAATATTGAATTAGTCAACCAATCAGACAGTGATGGTGTTTTGTGTCAATCACAAAAAATATAGCTTCAAACTGCTCTTAAAAGTCTGGAACACGTGTGGAAGAAATCCAAAGGCGAGACAAAAAAGTTCCTTAATGAGTCATCTTGATTCCATTAGGCACTGTGGATTTAGCACGCTTTCAGCATGAACTTATGGTGACTAGTAACTTGTGGATTGTTAACATTCTACCAACGGAAAACAAGTCAAGTGTACCATTGCTCTAATGTCTTGTGTAAGAAACTGATTAAAAACAAATTATAGAAAGCTTGCAACAAATTATAACTAAACTGGGCCTCTAAAGAAAAAGAAGATGCCACTGCCAGTTCGTCAAGTATAGAAAGCTTCGAAGGACCATTATGAATCCTACTTTAAACAAGCCATAAGTAAGTTCCAAAACATATTCTACTTGCTAATTTCTCACAAAGTACAGCATAATTTATTAGTGTGAAACTTAAAAACGTCAAGATCATGCTGAAAGCATGATAAATCCACAGTGCCTAATGGAATTAAAATAACATAATTGAAGAACCTTTGGATTTCTCCCACATGTGTTCCAGACTTCTAAGAGCAATTCAAAGCTACATTTTCTGTGATTAACACAAAAACACAATCACTGTCTAATCAGTTGACTAATCCAATATTCGCCATCCAAGTAGGGCATAATTCACCAATTAACACCAGAAACATCAGATTCAAATCAGACATGTAATCCCCATAGATTCAATCACCATAAACTCATCACAAATACAACCAATTAAAAATTGAAATCACATCAACTTCAATCTCACAAAAAAAACACAATCTATCAAAATCTGAAAACTTAACTCAAAATTAAAGAACAAAATCAATCAATAACACTATAACAGAAACCAACAGTGAATTGACAAGAGGAGTTTACAAACCTAGGGTTTCGAAACGCCGTTGGGTACGAAACTAAAATGAAGACAATAACTGGAGAAATTTGAGTATAAAAGAGGTTACAGAAGATGAAGAAAACAGCGTGAGGTGAATCGATAGTCCTTCTGCCCTTGTACTAATCCGCCATAGATGATGTGTAAAAAGAGAATCACACAAAACCAGCTATTGCCTACAGCTTGTATGGAGGATCGAATCTTCACCGTTAATTATTCGATAGAGAAACATATAATGGCGTCCATTAGTCCGTTGCGGGTGATTCCAATCTCCGGGGTGTTTGGACCTTTACAAAATTTCTTTTTGTATTTATATTTTTATGCCTGTCGGGTTCCGGTCCGATCAATCGATTGATTGGACCGTAGCCTGTCAAGACCGTTAAATACGGGTTATTGGAGATTTTTTTTAACAACCACGGTTTTAGGAATGGTAACGTAGCCCAATTATGAGAATTGATAAAAAAACACTGTTAACGGCCGCTTTTACAAAGTCGTATAGTTGTTATTGGGCGACAGTTAGCTGTGTGGAGATCTTTTAGCTGTATCTTTTGTTTAGTGAAGACCAACATAACTACGCGGATATTTTCTTATATTCCGACGACTATCAATGTATCGTGGTAGAAATTGTAACAACAATTTGTTTAAAAAAAAGTTTTAAAAACCGGGTTAGGCCCATGTTCAGTTAAGGCCCGACCATGAGGGACCACTTATAGAACCGGTTAAGGTACTTTATGCAAATATGGTGAAGGCCCATTTGTTGCACATTAATCCTAACCAAGCTGAATTATAATTGGGACCCGTTAAGGCCCGATATTGTGCCATCACTATAAACAAGATGTTTTTCAAAAAACAATCGTTCTACCTGAAGACAGAGAAAATGTATTTTTTTCATCTTATCCTCTGAACCAGGGACGAACCTACTTTGATGGTATATGTGGCACGTGTCACTGTATTATTCCTCCATCGAAGGGTAAAAAAATTTAGGTTCAGGAAAGGTACAATTGTATTAATTTGTTGTGTGTCACTATATGTGTTTTGAAACTACAATAAAAACAAGTTTTATTTGGTACAGTTGGTTTGCAAGGCTTTTATTCCACCTCAAACCCAAATTCGAATCATGTTAGTGTCATTTAGTTAATATCTTGTTTTAAAAACTTATAATATCGTATAGAAAGAAATGTTTCATAAGTTATGTACTATATTTTATAATTTTAATTATATAAACGTGTGATTTAAATTAGTTTGAAATTTGCTGGATGCGGAGCCCACTCATATGGCCTGACTGAGTCAGATCGGGTCTAGTTGTTCACGTATAGACTTACGACGGTTACCAAATTTCCATTTGTATAGCTTCATGATTAGGATATTAATCTGCCTGAATTTTTGGTTTAATTGATATGTTTAGTTCGGTTTTAATTATTTTAGTAAAATTAAAAATGTTTATTTTTTTTATTTTTAAAATTGAACCACTTTTGTATATGGGTTTTTGAATTTAAACCTACAACGACATATGACAAGTGAAACTTGGGTCGTAAAAGTCAATTTTTATGCATTGAAAAATATGTAATTTATAACTATATTACAAAGCATTTGACAAAAACTTTTAAAGACCATTTTTTATGCATAAAGTATTGTTTATTGATGCATATTACTTAAGATTTAAAATCACAAGTAAATTGTGCGTAAGTACAACTTATTAAAGCTTAATTTTTGAATTTGTGTAACTAATGATAGATAAATAAAATTAAATACAGGATAGACATTTCATTTTGAATATAAAAAATCTAAAATATAATTAGGATAATCATTAGTTATAACAAAATACTTACTTATTATATTTATAAAAATTATATTATTAAAACGATAAATAAATTACTTCGTTATTAAATTATAAATAAAATATTGAATAGAAAAATTACACAAAAAGCCATAACTTTAAAAAGTAAATATTGATTTTTTCCCCAAGTATTTATGATATATTTAAATTTATATTTTATTCAAAAATAAAAATATTATCGTTTTTTCAAAACCACTAAAAACCATATTATATCGACGTAGATAAATAATAAAATGAAACATTAAAATTGAGATATATCTTGCTATATTACGCGAGCACCCTTCTAGTGATTATAAATGAATGTACTAATTATTTAACTAATTTAAGCTTTTCGACATAGTGAATGAATAAACTATGAACGAAAATTGTACAAGTTGTCAATGTATTATTTTTGTTATTAATAAACCGTCACTTGTAAATCAATGATATCAAGTGGGCAATGTACTATTTTTAATATGACAAATACTATGCACACACATTCCTTGTATACTGTGTGAGCAAGGGTCGTAAATATGATTATTTCTTCTTTTTATACGAACCTGTAGGCGAGTTTCGTGCATGATTGCGAATAAGGGCGTGAACACGACGTTGGAAGTCATGCAGATTAAGCGACACGACTTGGATGTTGCTTGTAGAAGTTGTGTTCGTGCTAGAATGATCAAAAAACCTAAGTAGGTGCTAAGAAATCATCAAGTGTAGGAAATGTTGTAAGTGGCGTAGAAGGTCAGATATACCCTTGTTGGGCCACGATGAGTAGTTTTCAGTGTAAAAATGCAAGATAAGTTGCAGTAGCGTGTTTAAGTACTAAGCAGGCATGTATGTCTATGTGGGTGTTATTCGAAACCAGTTGTAGATAGTTGAGACTCACGCTATTAGGTGACTTTCATGTGATTTAAACTATGATTCATGCCTACGTATGTTTTAGTGTTTTAAAAAATGACTGTTTTACATTATCTAAACTGTTTTAACATGTTAAGTGACGTTGAACATGATAAACGTATGTATTATGCATGGAAATGATTTTAATATTCATGTAGGATCACATGTAGGGACGTCAGTATCATAACACGTTATGCAAGGGCAAAGGGGTTTCCTTATGACTACGGATTCCACATGGGTCAGACGAATATGTAAGCCCATTTTTGGCAAACTTTAAGGATCCGTGGTGACCCACACCATACGAGGAGTAGATGAGATCTCAAATGATCATAACGTTTTTACAAATATGTTTATTTGTACCAAAGGGTTTTTGGCTTACCGGTATCGTAGTTTCTGCTCTCCTAAGAGGTCAGGGGTTCAAAACCTCACCAAAGATGATGATGGTGTGTGTGAATTTATTTGTTGCATTTGTCGTATATAAATATTATATACTTCAACAAAACCATATTTACTGGTAGATACATATAATAAATGTTTTCGAAGTATAACAATTTTCAGTATGTTACGTGCATGAAATTGCATGCCAGATGTTATGTTACGCTGGGTCATGTTTTGGTTGTATTCTCACGAAATGACTTATATTATGTTTTATATGACAACCCAATAACTGACTGGATTTAATCGCTAACTAGTGACATGTTACAAGACCGTTGATGGCAAGGAGAAGGGTCTTGATGTATATTGACTTAGATTATGATACATTATTACGTGTGTAATAGACTTACAATACATCAGTGTTTATGAACTTTAATGATCAACGCTGTAATAGACCTATAGTTTGTCCAAATCTCTGTATCTTATTTATGATTTCAGATGTTTGTAAGATATTCCCAGTGCATAATGCTAAGTTGTGATGTTATTTATACTGAGGAGATGAATTGTAAGATAAGTTAAAATATACGCTTTCATAAAAACGGAAGATATTACTGAAATCAATGAGATGACAGCTAAATTCATATATGAATGACACTACCGCCACAAAATCTCTGCACAGGTCTATATACAGACTCCACGTTCACATTTATTTCTAGACTTGATTAACCATTAAAAAGAGTATAATAAAAGAAACAGGTCAAATAGATCGAACGAGTCAAAAACCGTCAATGACATAATCAGATATTTACAACTTTATGCATTTGTAGCATAAACTCGATTGAAGTTTGAAGATGTTCCATTGACATAGATCTAGTGTGGCATGAACCGACTCTATGGGTTAGCAATGGTCTGTATTGCGATACAATAAGGTCTACTTCATTCGTCCCAAAATAAGTGTCCATATTTCTATGTTAGTTTATCAAAAAAAATAAGTGTCTACTTTTCAATTTTACTCTTAACGATGAGATGGAGAAATTCGTTACTTTTTTTATTATTGAGGGTAAAATTGTTATTTAGTTAATTAAAAAAATATAATAAATACAAGTAAAAGTGTGTGTTTTTTTTTCATTGTAGACATTTATTTTGGGACGAATAAAGTAATATACATGCTAACATAATTCGATAGTTTATGAATCCATGTTTTATGGATATATGAAAGTAACAGTTACCGATAATCTAATCACGCTATGTATTTAACATGCCTAAAACAACAAAATACGATAACAACACAGGAATGGACACAATGGTGCCAAAAATGACCCTGAAAAATAAATAAAAAACGAAGTTAAAATTTTAGTTATATATATAGAGAAAGAGAGAGAGGTTGGTTATTATACAACCTTTGACATTTGTGCAACAAATACAACCCAATCTTAACCGTTCATTTCATTTGATTAATATGTGATTTCATAGAAGTTTTTATTGTTTCATAATATAAAATATCGATCATAATTAATGAACCATATTCATCTTCCATAAATATTCAAATCATAATAAATGAACTCTCATCATTTCCATAAATATCTCAATATATTGGGTTGCATTGGTTATACAAATGCGATGAGTTGTATTTGAACCAAACTCTACATAATATATATATATATATATAGAGAGAGAGAGAGAGAGAGAGAGAGAGAGATTTAGGATCACATGAGATCAGACTGTTTTTGTGACACCACTTTTTTACATTTGAAACTTCACAGTAAAACGCTGTGAAGGTAACATTTACAGTGTTTTTGATGTGAAAGTTTGACTTTTTTTTACCTTCAAAGTGTTTTGCTGTGAGCCTCTCATTATGTGATTTTTTGGGTTTTAACTAACAAAAAAACTTAAGGTAACCTTCACAATATTTTTGATGTGAAGGTTCGATTTTTTTTACCTTCACAGCGTTTTGCTGTGAAGTTTCAAGTGTAAAAAAGTGGTCTCACGGGTCTCACGTGAACTCAACCATATATATATATATATATATAATGTGTGTGTGTTTATTATGCAACCTCTCTAATTGTTACAACCACGTCTTAACCATCCATTATTTTCATCAACAGTTATCATTTGATCAATTGAAAACTTCCCTTAATTAAAACAACCAAAAAAGAAAATAAAAAAATGGACAGTTTTAGATGAGGTAATCGATGTAAATTGTCTAATAGGATTGAGTTCACGTTGAGACCATGTTGTTTTCTTGAAATCAGTTATACATTTTTTTACACTTGAAATTTCACAGCAAAACACTGTGAAAGTAAAAAATATTCGAACCTTCACAGCAAAAACACTGTGAAGGTTACTTCACAATATTCTACTGTGAGGTTTTAAGTATAAATAGTGATCTCACAAATTTCACGAAAATAGGTTGGTTTCATTGATCGCAAGTACTGTCTTCATAAAACGGAAATATAAAACTTACGCAGTACTGAGCACGTTTGCATGGAGTTCATATTCCTTGGCAAACACGAAAGAGGCGATGGATGGAGGTATAGCCGCCTGTCAACCGAAGCAATGTTAATCCTTATTTATAATTTATGTAACAAAAATAAAACAGTCATTTGGGACGCTTAACAATAGAGTATTTAGTGGAAAATTATTTTTCTGGACCAAATATGTTGCAATAAGTTGTAAGAATTAAACGTTAATAAGTATTATTTTTTTTTACGAAAATGAACAACTTAATATACAATAAATAAATGGTTATGTTAGTTTTACATGACGTTTTTTGAAAAAGGCACACACACACACATATATATATATATATATATGCATATATATAGACGAAAAAATGATGTGAGAGTAGGAGTTGAGGTGAGAAGCGAAAGAAATGATATGACATTTGATCATTTTTAATCTCACACTCATCTTATGAATTGCGCTTGTTGAAAAAAATTATCATGTGCATCTCATTACCGTTGATCTTCAATTATGATTGATCCAATGGTGGATATTTGTTCTCACATTTCTCATCATAACTTCTATTCTCACTATATATAGATGAAAAATCGTGTGAGAAAGAGAGTTAAGTTGAGAAGCGTAAGAAGGGATCTGAACCCTTGATCACCTTTAATCTCAAACTCACCCATGAATTGCGTTTTATATGGGGATTGATCTGAAGCATCTCGGTGCATCTTAGTGTATCTCATCTTAATGTGCATCCAATGGTAGAAATCTCTTCTTACGCTTCTCACTTTAACTCTCCTTTTTCACTATAACTTCCATTTTCAATATATATATATATATATATATATATATATATATATATAAGTGAAGAATCGTGTGAGAAACATAAGAAGTGATTTGGACCATTGATCACCTATAATCTCAAACTCATTCATGAATTGCGCTTGATACGGGGATTGATCGAAAGCATCGCGGTGCATCTCATCCTAATGTGCATCCAATGGTGAAAATCCCCTCTTGCGCTTCTTACCTTAACTCTCCTTCTCACCGGAACCCAACCACACACACATATATGTATATGCAAGAAATTTTATAAAAAGGCTGATAGCACATTTTTCGAAAGTACCCTATAAAAACTAGTATAATGATTTACTTTTTGAGTCACATTAGGTTCTCCAACTCTGTTGATAAATTTTGTTCATTCGCTAGGTCGTTTAATTTACTGTGTCGTTTTTGTATATGATGTACACTTACTGTATCGTTTTTGTATACCCTATAACAACTTACTGTGTCGTTTTTGTATATGATGTACAGTTCTTTATCTTATAAAAAGAAATATTCTATTAGAATAACAGCTCAATGTCTTGAAATTCTCATTAAATATTGTAATCAAGACTTACTTGCATTATGGCCATACAAAGCACATCACCTCGCAAACCTACGGCAAGTGAACTGACGGCTATCATCGTTGGTGCGACCACAAACCTTAGTAGCATCGCAAATGCAGTCAGGTTCAACCCGCAATCGATTATCTTCTTCTGCAATGCCATGACAAGCCCTGCATCATATATACAATCGAATCTTATTTTGTTTTTGTGATTACTTCATGTTTTTGGATAAAAAGATTGATTACAGCAACCTCAACCAGTCCCACATGAAACTCGCCTACAATGCCACTAATGTGAGTGGGTATTTATTGACTCATCTATACTATATTATAAAACTTTTGACAAAAACTCTTAAAAACCATTTTTTATGTATGATGTACTGTTTATTAATGCATATTGCTTAAAATTTAAGATTACAAGTAAATTCTGCGTTAGTATTAACTTATTAAATCTTCATGTTTGAATTCGTATAACTAAACTGCAGATAAACATCTCATTTTAAATATAAAAAAAGCTAAAATGTAATTAGGATAATGATTGAGTTTTAACAAAATACTTGTTTATTATCTGTATAAAAATTATATTATTAAACAAAAAAAATGAATTAAAGAAATACACAAAAAAAAAACGAGAAATTTTAAATAGTAAGTTTCACACTAATATCAATATTATTTTTTTTCAATTTTTTATGATACATACATATTTATATTTTATTCAAAAATAAAAACATTATTGCTTTCTCAAAATCACATAAACCCGTATTATAACATCAACTGAGACAAAAATAAAAAAACGAAACATTAAAATCGAGATGTATCTCGCGCATTATGCGAGTACCCTTCTAGTTCAACTTTAAAGCTAATCCGGAGGGTCAAACCCGTAATCTGTCTTGTATTTGCAAAAAAAAAATAAGAAAGCATCCATTTTGCCAAATACTTTTAGAAGAAAGTTTATTTATCAGAATAGGTTTATCAAAATACAGATAAGTTAATTAAGACATCTCGGTTATAAGAGAAATTCTCACCCATACTATACATTGCCAGACCTGCACCGCCTCTCGACATAATTTCTACAGATCCGTATATGATACTCGGCAATTTCAAATCCCACCTGAATTCAAATTATATGTGTTATAATATTCATACGTGTAACCTTTTTAGATCTCTCTTTAAAAGTTTTTATAGACGTGAAAACAAATCCGAAACATTCGTACGAAACGTATTCAAATGTTTTGTTTCACATGTGAAACGATTATTTGTCAACCAAAAGGTCACTGTTCAGTGGTATACGGTTACTGTTAGTTTTTTTTTATTAACCTAGATATCCAACCCGCTATGCGAGCTGACTAATCCCAGGACGACCACCTGCTTTACAGATAGCCCGGAGTCACCGCATTTGAACCTCCGTGGCCACAAGGGGATTTTTATTTCTTCTTGGATTTGAACACGGGACCTCCTGGTACTTTTGACCTTTTGAGTCAAGCTCAAACAAATCAGGCACCACCCTTGTGGTTGTTTACTGTTAGTTTCTCGGAGGTCAAATATTCAAATCTCAGGAGTGTATTTATGTGTGTGTGTGTATTAGTATTTTTCATGTATAATATACTCTTTAGAAAATAATTATCTCTGTTTCATATATGAAATCACATTGCATGTTTCACATGTGAAATAATTCATTTGAAATTGATTCACAAGTTTGATAGTATGTGAGTAGCTGATGTGAGAGTTCAACATAATGAACTTTGTTTGTGTCTATATGCATATATCGTGGAAAACGACTTACCGATTCGCTACAAACGCCCATGAAACCGCAAGAACGCTCGCATACGTGTTAGGGTTCTTAGCGAGCTTTATCCCGACAACTTTTAAAACAATCAACAAAGACGGTCTTCTAGTCATCGAATCCTCGTTCGGATTCCCTTCTAAATCCGTTTCCAATTGATCATTCGGTCCAACTTCTTGATCCAACGATTCATTTACGCTCCAAAACGCATACATCACCAACAAAATTATCATATAAATTGTCAACTGCAAAATCGACGCCTGGATCACAAGATTCTCCCCAAGCGGCCCGTACATTGCATGCATCAGCGGCACCCCAACAACAAGTGTATTATTGAAAGCCGACAACGAGAAGCTCGTGATCGACCAACGATAGTTTCCCTTTGAACTAAACTTAGCCCATAACAAAATCACTACGAGAACAATAGACTTCGAGATCCCATCTGCAACCAGGAAACGGAAGTTCATTTTATACGGATTGATTCGGGATGCGAAGTCGAATGTGAAAAGCGGCATGATGAAGTAACAATTCAGCTGGTTTATCGCACCACAATGGTCGGGTTTGATCAAGTGCCACCATTTCACTGAGCCATAGCCTAAGATCAACGCGAAATAGAGCGGGAACATCGATGCTATCAGCTTATAAACGTCGTCCCACCCTATCATTTTCCGTGACTCGTTTCTATCGATTACTTGGTTGGTTTAATTAATCATATAAAAGTAAGAAAGAATTCACAAAATAAGTTGGATTTCTTGCTTTCAAATGACTTCAATTTGCTTTGTTTTTCTTGTTTGTTTTCTTGATCTTAAATCTCCCCCAATTTGGTTCTTGTTTTTGGCACAAAAAATGGAGGAAAAGTTCATGAAATGAGACTAAGTCACATAGCAATTGGAATCCTCTCTTTTAGGCTTTAATTACATGTGTATTAATTACCATGAGATTAAGGTCACTAATCACACATTGTTGTTGGGTCATGTTTGAAATCAAACCTATGAAATAAATAAACAAATCTGATATATCATTTTAAAATAATTTACAGATCTGATAAATTTAAATCAGTTCAAAACTTGTAAAAGTTATTTGTACATATGCTATGTGATGAATGTATATAGGTTCATTGATGGATCCATGAAATTCATCGACTCAAGGCAAGTATCAAACACAAATTCCCCAAGCGGGAATGTGGGACCGGGGGCAAGTATCAAGTACGAATTCCCTGTGAGGGAATGTGGGAAGGGACAGGAGCGGGGACCGGGGGCAAGTATCAAGTACGAATTCCCTATGAGGGAATCGGGGAAGAGATGTGAGATGAAAGTAATAAAAGTTAATAAGTTCTAATCTACTTATGAAAATTTTGAATTTTCGACTGGGGGCGGTGCTTTTTCCCGTTGATTATATGGTACATCTTATCGTGTATGTATTTCATTACTTGAGTGCGTTTTTATAAGGAATACGCAAAATTTAAGACAAAATTCTAGAATAATTTCTTTATATGTTACCATTATTATTTTTATATTAAAATATCAAAAATAATTTGGATGGAATACACTCCTTCTTTGTCTTATTAGCACAGGTTTTCGTCAATGCTGAAAGTCGCTTAAGACTCGAAAAAGAAGGCTAGGCCCCACAGATGGATCCATAATATTTTTTTTCAAACGGTGGCACCATTTGACTAAGAAAATGACACTAACATGATTCGAACATGGTTCTGAGATGGAATAAAATCCTTACAAACCAACTCTACCAAATAAAACTTGTTCTCGTTGTCTTTATAAAATATATAGGGTGACACACAACAAATTAATACGGTTGCATCTTTCACGAACCTAATTTTTTTTATCCTTCGATGTAGAAATAATACGGTGGCACGTGCGACCATAACCACTATACTAGGTCCGTCCCTGCTAGGCCTTG